CTGTGGCGGGCACCTGTTTTGTGGCAATGGTTTTCATCTCGTCATTGTGTCTCTCCTGCGAATGCAACAGCTGCAGCTGGACTTGTGCTTTGCAAGGTCTCTGTCAAGAGCTTCCAAATCTATTACTCAAGCATAATTAGAACTAGGTCCAACATGCTTTTCTGTGCATCTCTTCCCTGTAGAAGCCTCATACTGGGCAATCTCCGGCAGAACCGGAAGTGTCAAAAGGAAACCACTTACAGGAAAATGTTGGGGCGATGTGCAACACATTGATTTCCGGCGTGAAGCGTGATGCAGAAATGTGGTGTGGTCATTTGTGATGTGGTGAAGCGGAACCGTTCTCCAAAAGAAATTATATTCCATCCTTTGACAGCTCGACATTCTATACTTTTCTCTGATGTTCCATATTGCTCCTTAAACATCCAAACGTATTGTATTACTTACCTTTGTTCTCTATAAAGCCTCTTGATTTATGACTTTGGTAATTTCTACTTGTCCGCTTCTTCTGAGATTCAAGATCGCCTATTATCTTTGGAAATCGGGAAATCTTGACTTTTCTCTAACTAGTCTTCTCTGGGCATCTGTATTTATGGAGACCTCGTATTACACGCAGTCTGTTGCAGTTTGGGGCAGCTATGACAACTGGGCCACAAACTGGCCAAACGACATGGCAACTCTAGTTTCACAAAACACAACATAAGCTTCGCATCTAACTTTCAAATTCGTTGAATTCCTCCCAAAGCGATAATTGCATGCATTCTCTTTAGGGGCATCCTACTCGCATGCAGCGAAGTATCGGCTTCTGCAACTCGATTGTGCATTGTCATTGCAATCCATTCTTTGCACACTTGACCTTTTATGACCTTTTCATGAATGCTTTGCCTCCAACCAACGGCGCGTTTGGTTCACAAGTTTGGCAGCCTCCCCCTTTATGCTTCAGTGCCAAAATGACTCCGAAGACATCCTTCGGGCCGAAGTCTGAGCATCTCCAAATCCGAAGTCTGACCGGGGACTTCCGTCAGACTTGCACATCTGCACACCAATAAAGTGGCCAATATCCGAATAGCGATGGCCTCCCACCTAAGAACAATGGCCTCCAACCTAACAGCAAAAGGAACCTTATAGGAATGGCCTCCAACCTGTGACTACGTTCTTTCAATTTCTTCAAAAACCTTCAAATAAGAGGAATACTCGGAGCAAAGTGCATCGCTACTAGGAGCGATCGAACGCTACTAGGGGCTCCTGGCCGTACTACTATAGGAACTTTGGTTCACTACTAGGAGCATCCTCTTCGATCTTTTCCGTCAACGAAACATGTCTCTCCTCCTCGATGCGAAGCTCTTCTGAAAGCTGGTCAAATTGATGCCCAGCCTCAAACGGCGATCAACAGCACTCTGACCCAGCTTTGGGGCTATCCTTGCTCGATACAATAGCCGTACAATAGCTGCTTTGCTCAAGGAACTGTTTCACTGATTCCTGCCTTCTCCGCAGCGAGCCACAAGCGCCATGCTGCGAAGCTCCGATATTTCATCCATGCCTCCTGCACCAAATGTGAGACACATGAAAGTGGGGTCATGTGATACATGTCACCTATTGGAGCATGTCCTATACCTTTTGAAGCCTTATGTCTTCAAACAAAATGAGCATCAATTCAGGACTTTTCTGAACGGTTGAGCTGGTTCAGCGCTCAGGTCAGGCCTTGGATCTCGCCAAGGGCCCTTGACATCCCAGGCTGCGTGCGAAGGCACCTTCGCAACGCTGGAATGAAATCTCCGCCTTCGATTTCTTCGCGATGAAAGAGGACTCACAAAGCTCCTCCGATGTGACAGCTCACGAAGGGTCTTCGAAAACGACAACCAGTGCCACTGCAGTGCGTTGAAACAGGATTCCAACAAGGAAGGGAAAATATAGGAACAAGGAGCTACTAGGGGCTCCTGGCATCGCTACTAGGAGCGATCGGACGCTACTAGGGGCTCCTGGCCTTACTACTAGGAACAAGAAGGCAGAAAAGGAGGGGGACATGAAATGACATGAAGGATCCGTCGGCCTGTCTCGACTGCTCGGTCGCCCACCTTGGCTGCCAACTTCGCCGGAGGAGCTTCTCTCCGATTTTTTCCAGCATTTCCATGCTGAAAAAGTGAATATTTGTCTTTTTTTGTGAATGCAAATTTGGGGATAAGCTTCCTTGAAGGGTCCTTTGTATGAAATTTAGTTCCTTAGATTTGATAGTTGCTTTCCCCAGGCTGGGTTTGCCTCATGCTGCGATGGCAGTTGCCAAGCGGCTGGTTTTGCCAGTGGACAAATAGCTCCTCGCTGGTTCCCACTCTGAGAGTCTTCGCCATGTGCCGAATGACATTCTGAGGATGTGCTGAGTCTCTGCAAAAGAACTGATTGTACATACACTAGGAACTCTACAAACATACCTCTACCATCCTCTAGCTAATGCCAAACACTGGCCAACAAAAAAACTCTTGCCTATAGAACTGAGAGTCTTGTCTTTTGCTTCGCGTTCTTCAGCAATGTTTTTTGGGATGATCCAAAGGTCTCCCTATTCTGATACACCTCATTCATGCAAACAAAGGCGTCCGATCTCTGAGTGTAGTGGCCCAATCTTTGTGAGGTCAAGACATCATTGTCACACAACTCGCCCTCTTCTGCTGCACACAGTCTGAGCCGGAATCTGGGGCATCCTGTCTTGAACCAACAAACAACGAAGGCTGTTGCTCGAAAAAAACATTGATGTCCGTTCAACCCCACGAAGGCTGTTTGTACTGTGCTCTTGGTGATTGGGATGTGATATAATGTTATATATATAATAAGCCACTCCAAGTGCAAACATGCACAACAGAAAAGATAGCTAGTGTTTCTGCCCGAAATCGATTAGAATCCTTCATTCATGCTAGAACTCCCTTCACAGGTGAACTCGACTCTCTTTGCAAAGAATCAAGTCATCGAACAAAACACCTTCTCTCCTGTCTCCTCTTCTGGTGGTGCATGCACGCAAATCAAACATAACGACTCGGTGCTGGAACCCTCGGCAGAACAAAAACCGATCAAGAACCACAAAACCCATGCCTCAATCGTTAAGTTGGGATGACTTGCATGGAGGGAATAATGTTTTCAGCGAACAATTCCGCTCGATGGAATCCGAAGCTGAGAGGTCTTATTGACGCATCCAACATCTCGACCCTTGTGGGTGGAGGCTGGGTTTGCACCTGAAACACTGGTCTTTTTCGGAGAAGTATAGTATATAGATATCTGCTGATATATCTGCATCTTCTGCAAAACACAATTTCACACACAGTACTTTCGATGTGTTTGTGGAACATGTTCTGCAAAAAAATGCAAATAGCCATTGGACAGTGTCTCGATGTAGCCCAAAAGTTTCGTTCGGGTTTCTATTGTGCACCCCGATCCAAAAGAGAGGTCTCTGCTCAAAAGCTCAAAAGCCGTCGAAACATTACAAACAAACCTCCGTGCCAAATTCAAAAAACTCATCGCCACAGCCCCTGACCTTTCCACTGAAAAAACCTAAAGACCGGTCTATGTTGGGTTTGTCAGTATATCCCATTAACAGCAACAGTGGATGATGGTCGATTAGGTTGCAGGCCTTTCAGAAAAATAGTGATAATCTTTTAGCAACTGTTACTGGTAATGGGATACACCCTAGGTCTAGGGTCTGTTTGCCCTCTTTATTCCCACCGCCTCGCCATGCTCATCGTTCTCCGACTAAAGATCACTCCTGAGTTTCCAGGGTGCTTTTTGTGTGAATGGAATGCAGGTTTTCTGGGTTCAGACCCAGGTTGGCAAATCTATATATATATATATACGAGTCACGAATCTAAAAACATTGCACCATCTAATCCAACCAGTGAAACGATGTGAAACCAACAAAACGCTTCGACGTAAGCATGACGCCACCATGTTCAGCAAATGTGAGGGTTCCGAGTGTTGCGAGTGGCTCATTGCTCCCCCAAGCGAGAGCAAAAAGGCAGCTGAAAGGGGCAAATGTGTTGCAACCCTCAGGTTCATCATGCTCATGCCCCTATTATGGTCACAACACCGATTTGCTGCAGCTAGAGTTCTTTTTTTTCCGATCGCTTCCCTGCTCGCTGATCTCTTCAACAGCATCTTCAGCACTGACCGTGACCCTGCCCTCCAAATAAAACTCGCAAGCAACACACAAGTCTTAGAAACATGTAGTTTTCAAGGGTTAAGTTAGGTTCAAGGAAAATAACAATATTTCTTGGGGCAGGGCACTTTGTTCAGAGATGGTGCCTCCCAAGGTGCTCCCACAGAAATAATGGAGCCACGGAAATAATCTTGAGTTGTCGAAATCATAACTCGGCCTTGGGAATAGGAAGGCACGCCATGCTTCGTGAAGCCACAGGCTTGGACGCTCGCCCCAAACAGCTTACAATCAATACTGCAAAGCTCAAAGTGTACGATATGATGCCAAGTCATGTAGACTGAGCACCCTGCTACACCCACTATATGTGTATTATATATATATATATATTTATGTTATATGTATATATAGAGAGGGAGAGAGAGAGAGAGAGAGAGAGAGAGAGAAAGTGAGAGTGAGAGAGGAGGTGTTCTGGATGTATTGAACCGTCCCCAACCAGCTATACAAGATTGGCCGCTTGAAGCACAGTCGGAATGTTCGCTCTCCCATCTACCTCTTTTTGGACCGTTAAAGTTGTCCTGACTCGGGCTACACCCACCATTGGACTACACCTGGGACGAGGACCACATGGACATCCAGGCAAAAAAAAACCACCAAAAAAAACAAAACGGTGCCAACATCGTCCCCACCTAAGGTCGGTGCTGAACCCTGCGACGTTGAACCCCCCAACTAAGCGAGACCACATGACTCTCCAAGAGACAGAAAACTACAACAAACAGATTGATTACAGTAAACTGATTAAACACACATTTATCATACAAATCAAATCATATAGTTGTTTACATTGAATATCATTGAATCATTCATCCTCAACAAGTTCACTGAAGCTTCACCGTTGGGCGAGCGAGCTCCAAAGCTCTGGGAACAATGTGTAGGTAAATTCCATTGGCTTATTCAGCGATGGTCCACTGATCTCTCTTCTCGGCCAAAAGGATCATCACAGCCACATGTGCATGCAGGTGACAGCGCTCACATATCTGTGCTACGCTCCTCAGGAAGAGCCAAGATTGGGGCCCTCTGATGTTAATATTGCATTTTGGGCTGACCCCCAAAATTTGTTCGCTGAATTGGATGGCACAGAGCGCACTTGCCCTGGCAATCTTGGAGATCCAACTTAGACTCCTGTTTGATTGGATTCTCTACTTCCTCTCTAGTCAGCATGTTCCGTGTAAATTCTTGCGAAACGTTTTCCACGGTACACGGCGCACCCCGGTCCTCCTGAAGCCCTCTGCCAACGCGTGCCTAGCGTCGCGCGGGGCTCCGTGCCTTTCACTGAGTCCACCGTTCGGAACAAGGAAGGACATCCAAACAAAACAACCACACCCTGAGCTTAGTATTATGGAATTGGGCCATCTGTAGATTCCCATTTCAACATCAAAGCGACCACTGCTCTATTTCTGAATAGACACCTGCAGCTGTGACATATATGTCACAGGCATCTCTACACGCACACAGGTATGTTGTTTGAATGAGCTAAATGCGTGTGGTGGTATTTGTGATGTGGAGGTGATGTGATGAACATGTGGTGAAATTGTTATTACGTTGGACGCCATCGCTATTAGGTTGGAGGCCATGGCAACTGTGTTGGAGGATATTGCTTCTAGGTTGGAGGCCAATGCTGTCGGTAAGTGTAAAAATAATGCGTTTATTTTTTTGGGTGGGTGGGTGTGCCTCTAATTTAATGAGTTTGGATGTCTGTTTGCTTTTACCAGCGCTGTGGAGAAGATGCGGTCGTAGCGCTATGATTTTAGATGTGGCGTGATGCGGTGTATGGTGGTGATGTGGTGGAATGTCATGCGGGTGATTTGGCGCCCAACCTAAAAGCAATGGCCTCCAAGTACCATGATGTGTGAGTCCGGATGGTACCATGGTAGTCTCCATGGTACTGTTGGTAGCGCTCTCTGTGATGCTCTTGGTGTGTTCTTGCGTTCACCGATGCGCCTCCAATGCCTTCACTGACTCGAAGAGCTCTTCGACATCTTCGACATTCCTTGGACCATTCCATTTCACAAAACCCGGCGCAAATGACCTGTTTAGGTTATTGGGACAAGTGCGAAAGAAGCATGTCATTGGCACTGTTCCCACAAGACAAGACCTTCACACCAAGCTCTGAGCCCTGTCATTGCATCGATCTGGTTTTGCAAGCCAGTCGCCTGCGGTCTTGCACCGTGAGTGTGACACGTTATGGGTTTTTGTACCGTGCATGCTGCTGCGTCCATTCAAACGGCGTGTTTCATCGGGCCTCTTGAAGAGCTGACTGCCGTAGTGACCATGCTTCTTTAGCACGTTCATCATCACCCTCCTCGACCTGGGAGTTTCTTAGCTTGCAAAACTCAGACGTTGGGATTGCTAGTAGGTTGGAGGCCAACGCTATTAAGGGGAACGCCATTGCTATTAGTAACTGGAAACGTTCAGACGAACGCGGCCACCTCGCGCTTTTCCTGTGCGTGGGTGGTCTGAGCCTATATGGCCCGGGTGTCATCCTGTGTGGACTCACGTTAACAACCTGCCTTTTTCGTGGCTAGGGCAAAAGTCTCATGAGCCCCTTGCCATGAAAACCTCTTCGGTGTTCATTCTTACGAATGCACCTACTCGGTAACTTCAGGCGGGTTCATCTAGAATTGCCTCATCGTCATGATGACGATCATGCAGCTCCAATGCTGCTGCTGCGTCCTGCTCTTCAGAGCTACTGCTTTCATTTCTTAGTCTTCCTTGTCTTCTTGGTGGCATCCTGAATTCTCTCAGCATCCTTGGTGGCCCCCAATTTGCAGCCATCCAGCCGTCCGGCCATTCACTTTCTTCCAATGGGCAGTTCACATCTTCATGCCCGTTCTTCACATGGTAAGTGTACTGCCTCAGGCTTCTGATGTAGTCAATCACCTCTTTCCTTGTTTGTGCTCCAGTGATCATCAGCATCCTCTGCAGTTCTCTGAACATCGCGTATCCCGTTGGGATGTCCTCACCAGATGGATCTTCTTCCATCAGCTGGCAAAACTGCCTCACCTTCATGATGATGTATACCTCAATGCCCACATCATTCTCGATCTGCTCGAGTCTATGCCTGGAAGGCGTCACCCTCCAGATGCTCATATTCGGCCTCTGGCTCGATGTGCCCTTCCAGACTTCTGACTCTTCATCCTCATATCTCTCTCTCTCTCTCTCTCCCTCCTCTCTTCTTCTGTTTCTGTCCTCACCATTCTCACATGCACCTGCGTCTCGTGCACATAGCCTTCCTCGTCAATGTATGAGCTCACTCTCACTTCACCATCTTGTTCTGCTGCTTCTTCTTCCATGTCCTCACCCCAAGGTGGGCCGACCACATCTCTGAAACTTAATCCAGAGTCTCCTGCCCATTGAACCCAATTTCTTCCTTCGGGCCCTTCGTCCCTCATCATACTCATGCCTCCGGCCACCTCCTTGGAGCGTTCCACATGCTCAGATCGATTCTCTCTTGCTCTTCATCTGAGGTGTAGGTCTCCTCACCTCCAACTGTGCTCCTCAGTGCTTCCCAAGAAGTCACATGTCTCCTCAACTCTCTTGCTGTGTTCTTCAATGCCCTCAGCAAGATCAGGATTGCAATGCTCAGGATCACAATGGCGATTGTCAATCACATCACAACTTGTTCTAGCATCTCACCTCCTGTTGCTTTTGTCCCAAGCAATCCCTCTGATTGCTGTTGCGGCTCATCCTCCGGAAAACATTGCTCACCCTTCTCTGCCGTGGCCAGGCCCAAGGCTGAATCTGCTAGCAATGCTGTCATCGTGAGCCTCAACAACCTCTTTGCCAACTGGTTTGTCTGTGTGCTCTTCTCTGGTGTCCCTTCCTCTGCAAACACCAGCCTTCTCACCTCTTGTAACCTCCTCTTCTGCTCAGCCTTTGCTCGCTCAGCTTCGAACTCTGTCTTTCCAAGTTGCTGCGAAGAGTCTGTGAAACCCATGATGTACATCAACATGTTGATACGCTTACCTCCAAGCGTCTTGGTGCCTATGTCAGATGGATTTGTTGCCGTATCCAACTTCTGCAAATCTAAATCTTTGCTCTGTCTCTGCTGGAGCCAAAGTAGTCGCCCGCTGAGGTGCTTCAACTTTCCAACACCTTCCTTCTGAGCAATTGCCAAGCTCGAGCTGTTGACTCCGTAGACGACCAACTTCACCTGTTCACCTGTCAGGTGTTCGACTGCAGCTTTCAGCAACAACCCTTCTGAAGCTCCTGACACCAATGCAACATACTCAGCTTTTGTGCTCGACAATGTGACGTTCTTCTGGGTCCTGGCATAGGAATGAGTCCAGTTGCCTGCAAGGAAAATGCATCCTGCCAATGTTGAACTTCTTGTCAACTTGTTTCCTGACCAGTCTGAATCGCAGGTCACCTCTAAAAGCCACATCTCCTCAGCTTCCTCAAACATGGGCGCTGTCGTCAAACCTCTTGACCTGTTCCTGAACGAATTGCTCTTTGTCTGACTCCTCAACACCAAGTGCACATTCATGGTCGTTGCCAAGTAGCCGACCAGCTTCTCAAGAGCCTTCTGTTGGATTTTGGAGTCTTCCGGCCAATTCTTTCACATGGAGCTGGATGTCTGGCCTGTCACCTGCCATGCACAGCAAAGTCCGAACTGCTGATCTGTACATAGGTCTCCTGTCATCCTCCTCCATAGTCTTTCCATCTTCTATTCCTGCACCAGGTGTCTTCGACCTCTTCACCGGACTCATCAACTTCACAAGGTTGTGGACGTACTTCTCGTTCACCCTCAGCTTTGTCTCAGAGGCATCCACCATCAGAGTCCTCTTCAAGAAGCTCAGCACCTGGTCATCCTCCACCGACACTTTGTAGCGTTTCATCAGGTGGTCCGTGACTCTTGCCACCTCTTTCTCTTCTCCTCCAACAATCATGTCATCGACATGAACCAGCAAGATCACATCCTGGCCTCCGTGAGCCCTGCCTCAATCAGGCTCCTCCTCAGCTCCTGGAACCATTGCGCTGCACCTTCTCGTTGCCCTGGGAGGATCCGGCCAAGAATCCACTCCTGCTGAAGTCCAAGTCTCTCAGCCAATGCCTTGTCCAGGCTTACCTTCACCTTCTTCGGCTGTGCACACATCAAGTATGCATCCTTGACATCCATCATGATCCCCTTCCATCTCTTCACCTGGCAGATCGCTGGGATCAACCTCAGGAGGGAGTGTCTTCCTGGCGCGCAAAGACATCTGTCCTCTTGGGATCACACCACGAAAAATCGCTTCCACTTGCTTTCTCGCCACCGCCAATCCATCACCAACTTTGTTGTTAGCAATGGGATGTCCTCCAAGTCATCATGCTTTCCAGGTGGCATCAAAACTGTGATGCCAATCAGTCTCTGAATCTCCTCCACCGTGGCTTCATCTTCAACCTCTGCAAGCTCAGCCTCCGGGCCTCCGACAAGTCTGGAGGTTGATCCGGGAACTCTAGACTTTCGTCCCCATCATGCAACAGCTCCCCAGCAACCACCATGCGAATTGTCGAAGCTGATGCTGGTTCAGGTTCGCCCTTCTCTGAACTTGCTTTGGTCTTCAACATCTTCCTTGGTGCAGACTTTGCCATCTTCTTTGGCATCTCGTCTTGTACATCTCCTTCTCCTCCTGACCTCTTTGGACTATCCATAGGGTTTCTTCGTGGACTTGCTGGCGCCTTGTCAACCTCACTCTCAACCGTAGGCTCCTCCAGGCTATCAGGCAGGTCCTGCAGCAATGTATCATCCGTGATCACCAGACCTCCATCATCCTTCTCGTCTGGTTGTGTAGGGGTGTAATCACTCATGTCTGGACCATCACCACCTTTCCTGCCTTCGTCATTTGGTCATGCCTGTCTTTTCTCTCCTCTTGCTTCATCGCCTCTGTCTTTCGCCTCATCCTCCTTCTTTTTTGCTTTCTCTTCCTTTGCCATCTTCTTCTCTTCTGTTCTAATCCCTGGGGCGAGTGCTGGAGGCAATGGAGCTGTAGGAAACTTGCCTACCAACGACGAAGCTTTGGCACCAATCTGCCCAAACCCAATGGCCAGAACTTCATGTGCGTCACGGCCTCCGGGTCAAAAGGAGTTGGCAGCCGTGTAATAGTTCTTGTCCACTTCAAACCTTCAAAACATTTCAAAACATAATTTGTGCAATTGACGTCCTAAACCTTTCTAGCAACATTAATCTTGTTGTTCAGGTTACGACCTAAGGTCTTCGAGAATGATCACGCTTTCAAAGAAGAGGTCATAGAAGTCTGACTTTAAATCCGACAAAAACAATTTGAAACAAGGTGCTGACAGGACTAAACAAACTAACTAGGTATCCTGCTACTAGCGAACGGACGCAAGGAAGCTCCTTATGCCTGAGGGCGGGAGCTTCCTTGAAGAGGCACTCGCACTATTCATTTGGTTCCTATTCATTCACTCACTCATCAATTTCTTTTAAAAAAGGAGTTCTTCCTTCTCTTTGTCTCTTCTTTCTCTCTTGCCTGTGGGGCCGCCGTTGACTTCTCGCGGGTGTCATGCGCGCTCCTGGTGCAAATCTCGGCCCGAAGCAACTTCCCAAAGAAGCGAAGAACACTGGGAAAAAAACAAAGGTGGATCCAACGTCCTGGTTACCGGGCGCTTCCTCTACCAAACGACAGGTTGGTTTTGCGCCCTTTTTCAAGGGGTTGTGGTGCGGGCAGCTAAGGAGCATCCTACCATCCTGCGACGCATGCAGGTAGTTACTGCGTGGAAACATCAGGGTGCTGCTGGTACATTTAATCGGAAAGGCAACTTATTATATAACGGTATTACCCCCGAGCTCCCTCCTCACCCCCAACTCATCAGCGTCACAAACTCTGTGTGTCTGCGTGTGCACCAACCAGCACCAAGATCCGTCGTTAACCCGACCACCCGTGCGAAATCCCGCAGTTTTCGTTTCCAAGTTCCCGGACTTTGAAAGCAGATGCGGAAGGCCCAGCTGCAACAGGTGACGGTCAAGCCCGGCATGTGACGATATATACCGCGCAGCCGAGGGTGCTGAAAATTCCAAGTTTCACCTCCAAACCAAGGAACTTCTGAGCTTGGTCGACTCATTTTGTTTTGGTCTGACCCTACGACATGCTTTCCTTCTTTCCTTCTTTCTCCTTCATCTCTTTCAAAGTCTTGACAGCTTCTTGAGCCATCGCTGCCGACTGCTGGGATGCAGCCACCAAGGCCTTAGCCACCTGCTCGTCCATCTTTTCTTCACTTTTCCTTCTTCACTTTCTTTCTTCTTTCTTCCTTCCCTGGATCTTTGCTCTTCTCCCGGGGTATATTTATTGAGCCCCCCGGGTCGGCTCCGCTACCATGAAAACGTTCAGACGAACGCGGCCACCTCGCGCTTTTCCTGTGCGTGGGTGGTCTGAGCCTATATGGCCCGGGCGTCATCCTGTGTGGACTCATGTTAACAGTAACTCAAGATTCAAAAGCGCAAGTAGCTGGGGATGCACACAGCCATCTCCGCGGTACGATACCAATCTTCTGCCCGCTTGAGAGATCGCTCCTTCAGAGTAGCCCGAATAGGGCAGTAGGGATGCAGAAAAGGAAAGAAACGCATCCAAAGCAGCTTTCGATCGCGCCCAGCAATTGACAGGTTGGAACCTCAGCCTGGATAGGGTATTGATGTGTGAACAGCTTTCCATAAAGCCCATATCTTGCCTGTGTTTCGATTGGATGCATACGTACTTGTCAAGTGGCATTTGGAATCACGAGACTGGCCTCTTGCTGTCACGATTGAGTGAGAGTTGCAACTACAACCAATCGAACCTCCATGAAGACCTTCAACCATTTAAGTTTCCCTCAGCTTTGTCAAGCCGGTCTGTGACTGGTCAAAAGGTGTTCAAAAAGAAGCAAGAGTCTGCCGAGGTAAAGTGCACTGCTAGTGAAGGTCTGAGCCTGTATTCGGTCTTGAGATTCCTGTTTGTGCAGAAGGCGCATGAGTTTGGTGCGTGCCGATTGGAGATTAAAAGTTATCTTAGGCTTGCCAGGGTCATTGACCTACTTCAGGGCATTAAAAAGGGGAGCACGCATTCCAGCGTTCTTCACAACGCAATATTAGATCACCTTCGCGGCTACTTGAATGCATATACCGGGGAAAAAATTCTTCCCAAACACCATTACAGTTCCCACTTGGGCAAAAAGCACTCCTTTCACGAAGGTCTCGTATCGTGTTGGACCCACGAGCGCAAACACAAAGATGTAAACAAGTTTGCTAATTTGGCAACAAACACCTGGGCTGGTTGGGAGAAAAGCGTCACGTCTGATGCTCTTTGCTTGCAACTCCGAGAGCACAAAGGCGAAGTTGGTCCATTGAGGGTTGGACTGTTGAACCCAGATCACCCAAGTGAGAAACTGACATCACTTCTGATAACGCGGCTTTGCTCCTTCTGATTTACCAATCTCGCCTGCGTTGCAAGAACCTCAACGATTGAGTGCAAAGTTGTGAAATCATGACTGCCACTCACATCTCTATCACAAAGTCTTACGTCTGAAATCAGAAAACATAAAAGATAAGAGCCCCTTCAACACGGCCCCTTTACAGGCAGCCTTACCTTTGCTTGTGCATCTGTTTTTCTTGATTTCAGACCTGAGGCTTTGTAGTAACAACAAGAACTTACTGCATAAGACTGCCTGACCTTGGCGAGGTCGCCCTGGCCCAGAATGAACTGTGCAAAAACTTGCATTGCAAGGACAACACTGGCAAACAAGAATTGTTCCCTAGCTCTTGTTTCAAGACCAGGTGTGTACGATGCATAGGTCTTGGCATGCTGTGAAATACTATATACATGTTATGTTTCCATCTTGTGCAGGGTGTGTCAAGTGAAAGTGTGTGCCTGCGTCGCCTTACAGTACGCTGCCAGGATGGAGAATCACCCGTGGTGTAGAATTACAAAAAATATCTGTCTGCTAGCTTTTGCAAGCAACATACTCAGCTCACAGTAGCTTTGTCACGATTACGAGAAGGGAATGAGTATCATGCCAAATGTGAAAGACTGAAGATGCGGCCTGAACAACTCCAGCGGGAACAGGGTGGGCGCACAACTCCAACTTTCCTGCCTGCACTTCATCCAAGGACGGGTCAAGAACCAGTTCACGATCCTCCATGCCCTGCAAGACCTGCAGCGGAAACGCTCTGGTTCAAACTGAAGGAAAACACAAACAGTGAAGGCCAGGACCAAAGGTCTTGAGAAACCTAATTAATTCTATATAACGCCTTCAAAACATTTCAAAACATAATTTGTGTAATTGACGTCCTAAACCTTTCTAGCAACATTAATCTTGTTGTTCAGGTTACGACCTAAGGTCTTCGAGAATGATCACGCTTTCAAAGAAGAGGTCATAGAAGTCTGACTTTAAATCCGACAAAAACAATTTGAAACAAGGCGCTGACAGGACTAAACAAACTAACTAGGTATCCTGCTACTAGCGAACGGACGCAAGGAAGCTCCTTATGCCTGAGGGCGGGAGCTTCCTTGAAGAGGCACTCGCACTATTCATTTGGTTCCTATTCATTCACTCATTCATCAATTTCTTTTAAAAAAGGAGTTCTTCCTTCTCTTTGTCTCTTCTTTCTCTCTTGCCTGTGGGGCCGCCGTTGACTTCTCGCGGGTGTCATGCGCGCTCCTGGTGCAAATCTCGGCCCGAAGCAACTTCCCAAAGAAGCGAAGAACACTGGGAAAAAAACAAAGGTGGATCCAACGTCCTGGTTACCGGGCGCTTCCTCTACCAAACGACAGGTTGGTTTTGTGCCCTTTTTCAAGGGGTTGTGGTGCGGGCAGCTAAGGAGCATCCTACCATCCTGCGACGCATGCAGGTAGTTACTGCGTGGAAACATCAGGGTGCTGCTGGTACATTTAATCGGAAAGGCAACTTATTATATAACGGTATCACCCCCGAGCTCCCTCCTCACCCCCAACTCATCAGCGTCACAAACTCTGTGTGTCTGCGTGTGCACCAACCAGCACCAAGATCCGTCGTTAACCCGACCACCCGTGCGAAATCCCGCAGTTTTCGTTTCCAAGTTCCCGGACTTTGGAAGCAGATGCGGAAGGCCCAGCTGCAACAGGTGACGGTCAAGCCCGGCGTGTGACGATATGCAACAGGGCCCGGCCCACATGGCTGCCTACCAAGTGACACCCGCCCAAGAAATCCCTACCAGTGCCCTTCCCCCAGCTAAAGGAAGAAGGAACAAGAAGGAAACGGTAAGATTCAAGTAATGGTAAAGATCTCAAGGACGGAAGAGAAAGGCAAGAGAACCACCTCCCCAACTGTCTCTCACTTCCATGCCTCACCAGGCTCTGAAACCGGAGTGACGGGGCAGGAGAACGCCTGGTTTCAAGACAGAAGGCGAGTGTTGGTGCTTGAGGGGTCCCCGCGTGTGCCCGCCTGCCGCTCATGAAAGCCTTCCAGTGAGACAGGAAAATGGATAAACGTATTTTGGGTCGGCAATGGGCCAGGATAGAGATGCCTCGACAGCGTTTTCATCATTCTTGCTCTGCAACCGTTGACTTGAAAGAACCTCAGGCCCCGAACGAGTGCTGCCATGAGGCTGAGGATGCCATCAGCCTGGCGACACACGGGTTTGGTTCAAAAATGTGATGCCGGCTCTCAGAATCTTGGAACTGGGAAGCTCCGAAGAGCGCGGAGTCGTGACAAAGACATACACTTTCCTTAACCACCGTGGGATCTGGTGATTTACGAGGCCAAACCAACATGGAAACCTGCAAGGAGCCTATTACCGGGGAACACCGCGTAAGTTGGTTTGAACCACAAGGTCCTCAAAAGACACTAACGTGGAAACATTTTTGGGGGGGGGTCATGAACCTGTATTTCTCTAGGAAAACCTAAGGTAGCTGGGAGAATTGGTCAATGCACTGGTTTCTAGGTTAGCGTCTTCAAGCTATTTTCAATAAAAAAGGCGCATCCTGAGAGTTGCCAGGTCAGCTTCCACGGGTGTCCAGTGACAGAAACAAGTCCAGAGCTCACTAACATGGAAATAATCTAAAATGGAGCTCTCAGCTTCTACCGTGACAAAAACAAGTCCAGGGCTCACTAACATGGAAACTCGACAAACAACAACTAGCAAAGAAACTGACAGCCCGTGCAACGACAATTCGGGACAGGTCCACTAACGTGAAAAAAATAATCCATTTGCTGTTTCTACGGTGGTTAAGGGGAGAGTAACAACAAATAGTTTTGGGGGACTCCCAATTGAGATGGCATCCGATGTCAAACCACCTCAAAGAAACCACATGGGCATGGTGAAACCACATTGCACGCAGCACCGCCGTCTCCCCCGTGTCGGCGCTGTAGCACAAAAGCCGTCTAATCTCGAGCCAAGTTCGGCAAATCGCCAAACTAAATCCTGCCCGCTTTGTGATGAAAGTACCCCCATGGCAAACCTAGCATTCTGTACATCATAACGGTGCTCATAACTTGTTAAGTCTCAGTTGCTGCTTCCGAACATGATGCAATCTATTCAAGACACATCTTATCTCACCTTGGATCACCTTCCACCACCTGCGCCCCCTCACCAAGGCTCTGTTTTGATTCCGCGGAAAGAAGAAGGACGTCCACCTGCGTGAGGGAAAACATGCAAAAAAATCAAAGAATTCTGTGCTACGGCCGATTCATCAAAACCGTTTGATTCCAAGAACTGGGTAGCCGATTCAATATGTTTTGCGTTTGAAGGAATGACTGCGTCAAAGACCTGAAGGATTCCCAAGATGGGGACCTTGGGAGCCCTGATGAGACCTGCTAAGATGACTGAGAGAAACGGTCTCGTCCAAGAAGCTTGTTTCTCCCATTGGTTGAAGATATCTCCAAGCACGGATCTAGAAGAAATGAATGACAAATTAGAGACGTCCTGTTCTCGTTTGAAAAACCGTTCTTGGCACTATGAGTTGCTTCCTTCATCCATCTTCCCCCACTACACTCTTCGCACTGGGGAAGTGGTTGCGCAGCGCCACCTGCGTCCGTCGCTTGGCGCCGACTTATGTCGCCCACCGAGGTCCTGACACAAAGAGCTTAGGATGGAAAGATCAGACAAGAAAAAACATGTCTTCCTATGAAAATTGAGACGCTGCTAGGAGCAAAGAGCGGTGCTGTGCTACACAGAGCCTATGCACTTTTCCAAGAGATCGTCTGCTGTACAAGGCAGCCAGTTTTATCAACCACAAACCTGGCAAAAAAGCAGTCTGTGGTGGCCATGATTCTCTTTAAATCCGTGGGCTCTTGAGAAAGAGTGACCAGTTCCCTTACAATCATCTCTCAAGATAATTTGACAAATGTTCAAAATCCATTTTCACACCACGGTGACTTGACGGACCGCCTGAGGGACCTCCTGTGAACGAGACGTCCTTCAGGAGACCCTCTGAACCGCATGGAGACGTCCCTCCATCCCTACGCTCCGTTGCTCTCCGTCCGTACCTCCGTACCTCTCCGTCGCTTCCGTCCTTCTCGTCCTTCGTGCTTCGCTTCTCCTTCGCGGTCGAAGTCGTTTTAACGCAACGAGTAGCAAGAAGCTACGTAACAAGGGACATCGCCACTAGGAGCAAGAAGCTACTAGTAGCTCCTAGCCATACTACTCGTAGCAACCTCTCTTATCTACGCTTTGACTTTGTGGACTGATTGGCTGTGCGCTAGGCAGATTATGCCGCCCGGTAAAGACTTTCTCATGTTGTACCCAGGACTCAGGACTATTCTTTTGGAACGCGGGAAGCACTAGGAGTTGCAGCATAAACATGTGCCCAAGCCAACAAACACTCAGAATATTGGAAACCTGCCACTGCCTGGGCGCAGAGACTTCCTCACATCAAGATCTTGACCCTTGCCTCTGTATCGTTTCTATCACACCAAGGAAGTACAGGGTTGTTCAACACATGTCTGTCTGGCCTTTTCACAAGCGGCGCAGCGTTCCCGCATTTGGAAACATACCGCAGCAAACTGGCGTTCCTGGGCCCACTTTGAAGAAATACCAAACCGATTTTAGAAGAAAGCTGCTACTTCCAAGTGAAGACCATTCTTTCTATTCATCGCAACTGGTACTTTGAACAAGTACGACGGGCAGCTTGCTCATCCCTTGCTATATACCTCTTGCTGCTACTTGCTTCAGAGGCGAAATGACCGAATCACACATCACAAAGTGGGATCTCTCTGCTCTACAAGAACATTACGGCCTCAGCGTGTTCATCAGCGATTTCACCTTGAAACGTCAGAAATTGGTTCATCCCCTTTCACAAGTTCCACACACCAACACAGTTGAGATAAACATGAAAGGACATCAAACTTAGCAACTACAAGGCCAACAGAAACATCGACAAGTGAGCCATTCATCCTTGTATCAAACAACTTAGTGTGTTGATAGTTTTCTGTATCCGTTTCTAAGAAAATATCCAATGACATAATGATGTCCATCTCATCCTCACCACTCCGTTCGCAAACGAGCCGCTGATGAGGCCGGAGGCCGGTGACAAGCTCTGCGAGATTCTGCTCCTGGAGTTCCGAGTCGAACGGAGGCCATTGCTACTAGGGTGGAGACCATCGCTGCTAGGGCTATCGCTATAGTAGGTTATATAAAAACAATAGGTTTGAAGCAAACAGTACCACGTACTATCTTACTATATATTTGTGTGCTGAGATAATGCCTCGAATATCATGAATAAAATGTAATGTATAAAGTAAGTTGTTCGTAGTATGTATATCATTGTTGCGTGGGGGTAGGCCATGCAAGACTTTAGGCAGCAAATTAGCAAGCTAAGTAAGTAGCTAGTGCAACCAGATCTAGTTAGCACGATGAGATTCTTGAGAAAGAGTTCAAGAAGGAGCGACCATTTAGCAATGACCGTGACTCTCGGAATCCGAGAAAGCCTCAAACCGAAACAAATTCCAATTTGTTGTAGCTTCGCAGGCAGATATCCACATACTCTTGTTATCATATTAACATGGACAATGGTAAATGCTGTGCCATAAAGACCGTCTTTGCCTTGAAATTGATGGCAGGGCAATGAGGATCTTGCACTTGAACACTGCAGAACAAATGTAACAATGCAGGCCCTTGATATTTACGTATGTTTACCTAAAGCACCATGAAACACATTCTTTAAGTTGAACCGCTGCATAAAGGTACGTACTTTGAGGAACAAAAAATGACACGTAAACCTGCGATAACTGTGAATGAAGAGTAGGTGTTCGACTCTCTCGAACTCCTCGACGCTGTTCGACATCTATTGCACCCCCCTGGTATTCATAGTGGTGGTAACTTTGCTAACAAAAACGGTTCATATCACAGTTCAAAAACATTGTCCATATTGGGCTCGCATTTGTTGACACACCTCGTTCCCAGCAATGCTGCTGGATGACTTTACCCAAGGCACATCGTCTTGGTAATCTGCTTCCCAAGTTTGGCTACACGATTAAAGAGTGGGTCCATTAGTGATCTTGCTTCCAAGTTGCTCCTAAGGATTGAAGTTGGGAAAGGTGTGAGAAGGATCATGCAACTAAACGCTTTGTTGCCGCTTTGCCGACATGTGCAAGATGTCGGGAAACCTCTAGAGGCTAAAGATCTGCCACCAAGACCCAAATCTGCAAGGGACAGGGACCGGCAAGTGCAGGCAGCAAAGGGCCACAAGAATAAAGGGAGACCGTTCCAGTGCCAAGAACCAAAGTAAAGTGACCTAAGATACAACACTTGGCGGACCTTGCCGCTGCGATAAAGGCACCTATTGTCCGAGAGAGGAACCGATGTTACTCCGTAAGCGCCAAAACAACAAAACAAATTGCCACTGCGTTTGAGCTCCTGTTTCAGGTGCAGCAGCTCAGCAGCACTCAATATCGGGCCTTGGGTAGTCTTCTTGTTTGTTGCACAGTTCACTATACAGAATCAAATATCTGTCAATTCAAAGGACATGCAAAGTTGAGCCAGTGGCAATGTGATAACTGGAACACCCAGTCCCACAGACTTTTCAAGTGGCACAGTAATTGCGGGTTCACAGACATTCAAGCACACAAACTAGCAAATAACCCTTGGCAAATGCACATTGTCGACTAAAGTGTCACCCACAGTGTCGATGAGGAGGACCTTTTTGGATCCCACGAACTGCGGGTCTGTCGCTGCGTCTCTGTCGCAGGTGGAACTCTGGGCACGGTCGACCCAACTTTCGCACATCATGAACAACCAGAATTGGGTTAGAGTGTTCGTTGAAATCTGTTTGTTCCGTTTCTCTAGATTTCATGGGATATGGCATTTATGGAACGGTTGACTTTGGACTGGTCTTATGACTTATGACTCATGACCCAAAACAGCTTACACTTGGATTAAATTTTGCTTGGATTGCAACAAACCTTCTTTGCCAAGAGTTCAGTGTCCTTCGTTTCGAAGCTGCTTGCACACCAATTCTGGTACAGTAAAATACAGGAGTCAAGTAGAATCTATATTATATACAATTGTCCTGGTTTGTGGACTTCAAACAAGATCCTGCCCATGGCAGATTCGGTCACCACCGTCGAGGCTTCCATATCATCAGAATCGTTCCTCAAGAGCGCAGCTGACCTGGGCTGACTGATCACAACACAAATGCAAACTTGACCTGTCTGATCCTGTCTGTCAACATCCCTCTTTTGGGTTCTGGGATGCCCCTCGAGGCATCTGAAGTCTCCTGACAAGAATTTTTGGTGCACACCCCTGGAGCGCTCCACATCAATAATCTCATGCTGAATGTAAAAGACCTTGACAAGTTACCACCTCTGGATGATATGAGCGGGGAATGCGACTCTGTCTCCAAGTGCCCTCTCCTGGCTGCTGACCTGTCGGCCTTAATTGTAATGTTGCCAGCGCAGTCTGACCTAAAGCTCCATGAACATCATGATGAGACCAGTATAACGTGCACCTGAACCCTTCCAGGGCCTGCACCTGCTTTTGCCTTGCCCTTCTTTGACTGAAAGCGCCAAAGGACAAATCACACAAGGTGCATGACATATTCATCCGCGCCGACTGGTTTCATCCAACCACAAAACATCGTGCGATCATTGCGGACCCATTTTGCCAGCCTGCCCTGTGGTGTTGGCACCCAGCGCTCGTGCCTGGATCTGCGTGAAGGAGTTTCGGGTGATGCGTCTGGCATCTCCACGCATCTTCCATCAAGCATCATCTTTCAAGCTGGGCTATTGGCCAGTCTTCCCAGTCCTGGCCATAGCCCCACCAGTCCTTGCTTGGCACCCCCGGTTTTAGGCGCCTGTTTGACCTCTCCGGCTGAAAAAGACACCTTCCAATTCCATCTGAGTTGCTCCGTTCCACCCGGTCTTCCCCTTCTTGCCAGCCTGCGGAAGGGGGGATGTCCAGACGCTTGCGGGTAATAAGGAGTGTTGCAGCAGCTTTAGGACATGAGTGCTACAGCTGAAAGAAAGCTCTGGAGCCCACCTTCCCGTGACCCCATTCATCCCAAGACCACCAGCGGCTGTCACCTGTGAATGACACACCTGTTTGCCTAGAATGCCTAGAACATTGACATCTGTCTGAGGCAGCTGGCCATCGTACGCCCATGCATCGTTCTTTGGAGGTGCACCTAGGCCTGGGCCGGGTCGTCGCACTATGCCCCGTACGCAGTAGCATCACAGAAGTCGCTTCGGACTCCTCCCTGCACATCAATGTGCTGCTTCAAATTTCACATGATCCCAACTGATGTTCCGGTTGCAGTTCACGTTGCTGTGGCTCTCTGAGGCTCAAGCTGCCTGCCTTGACCTGTTGCAATAGGGCTAGGCCGGCGCCAGCGTCAGGGCGCCCTATGCACAATGTGTCAGTTTTCGGCCGTTTGGGCATCACTGAGGACAGTACTTGTTGGGCGTATGGCAGTGTATCGTAGTGTCGCAATATGTCGCAATGAGTGGCTCGGTGAAGTAAGGGGAAAGTGGTTGATTTTGCAAGTTTTCTGTTTCCGTCACGTCATTCGGCTTCAAACTTTTGGCCAGTACCGGGCCTGACTCCACCTTGCGTGTGCCGCCGCCCTTTAACAGTTGCAAAAGGACTGCACCCGCTTGTTGCGGTGGGCGTTCCTGCCAAACGTTAGCAAAAACTTTCACTGCACTGTGCTTGTGTCAATGAGACACGTAGTGAGCGCTGGATTAGTTTTGGACAATACATACGCACACATATATATATATATACAGCACTTACAAGCCAATTTAATTCAAAACGACACGTGCTGGTGTCAGTTTGGAGATCTCTAGTCCTCCTTGTTGTTGACCAGATTAAGCAGGATTTTTCCTGCTTTTGCGCCAGCATCATTCGTGCCTGTGCTTGTGGGCACTGGAGCCTAGCGGGGAAAGCATGTCTCGACAGCGTGATCCAGTAGCAAGGGGTGCACAAATCGGAACGTCTGCTTCTGGTCTTTCCGATACTTCCCGATGCAAAGCAAGAACATTGGCCTTCGGCGTTGGTTTGTCTCCTCGGTGATTCAAGAACTAGTGACCTGCCTTTTTCGTACTTGATCCAACCAACGAGCGTTCAGCTGCATTCACATTCTCTCAGCTTGCTGCCATGCACGGCGACACTGCTTCCAGCCTGGTCAATCTATCTCCCTCTCTCTCTATATATATATATATATGAGGTCATGAAGGTCATGGGTTCACAACTAGACGACGGTTGGCCCGAGAGCGAGACATGTCATTGTCCGGCACTGTCGAAAAGATATATAGAAAGAGAGAAAGAGAGGGTGGACGTGAAGGAGTGACAGTGTGGATGTGCAGGAGCAAGCAAGACTTCAAGCACTTCCACTCTACCAACAGCACTTGAAGCAAGCAAGACTTCAAGCACTTCAGCAGCAACAGAGGGAGGCAGCGCAGACTGAAGCGCTTCGCCAACGGCAGGAGGAGCTAGCAAGGGCTGAAGCCTTTGAGCAACAGAAGGCGGAGACAGCACAGGCTCGAGCGCTCAAAAGAACAACAGGCCCAAAAACAGAGAGAGGAGCAAGCAATGGCTGAAGCAAGTGAGCACCAGCAGGCAGAGGAAGCACAGGCTCGAGCGGCACAGCAGGCGGAGGAAGCACAGGCTCGAGCGCTCCAGCAACAGCAGCTTCGCCAGCCACAGGATGCAGCAAGGGCAGTTCATCAACCAGAACCCCTTACGACAATAGACTCTGCAATTCGGGGTGCGCCTTGGCACCGACAGGGGGCGTATGTCAGCCCTTGGCAGCAGCAGGCACAGCAACAAGCGCATGCATTTGAGCAGCAGGCAGCAACTGCGGCTGCTTTGCAAAGTGTGTACAAGCAACGTGAGGGAGAAGCGCACCTGCAGCACCTCTTGCACCAGAAGCAGCAGCCTCAACCTGTGACTCAGCAGCAGCAAATGATGCAAGCAAGTGCACAAAGCCTAGATGAAGCAGCTTTGCGAGAAGAGTTGCTGCACAAGAAACAATCACAAGAAGAGACACCAATACAGAAAATGTCTCCAGCCCAAGAAGCAGTGATGCAAGCAAAGGAGCAGCTATGTTTGGCAGATATGCAAGCTGAGCAAGAGCATGAGCAAACTCCAAACCAAAAGAAACAAAGGCTCTTTTCGCCAAATACGAGAATGTCGGATGTAAACGACCAGTTCGACAGGCAGTACGAACTCGCAAACGCAGCTGTGCAGCAGGGGATTGCTGAAGTGGAAGGTCAAAAACAAGCTGCAATACAAAGGTATGAAGAAATGAAAGCAGCATTCGCCAGGGAGGAAGAGGCTCTGCGACAAAAGAATGAAGAGTTGCAGCGGAAACAGATGGAACTCGAGCGGCAGCAGCAGGAGTTGAAGCAGCACGCTGAAAATTCAAGAGCAGCTCTTCAACCCAATGTTCCCTTGCATCTACAACACTTTGGACTTCTCTTGCCAAAGTCAATGCCCCCAGCTCCGAAGGAGGCTTTTTTGCCTCCCACATGCAAAGCAGCAGCAATGGCAAGTGCAGCGAGGCTTCCACCGCCGCCGCCACCACCCTCCACAACTTCTCCAGCCCCAACGGCAGAGGCGGCTTCCCCAACAAGCGCTACTCCACCAATGGAACCACCAGCAACACCGAAGCATCAGCCATACATGACGCCTCCCCAACAGTTTATCCAACCCGGACCCATTGTTGGCTCATCTGGCTTGTTCCCATCATTCCCCGTCCCTCCTGGGCCTGTGCCTTCTCCTGCTCACCCACAAACTTCGTGACTTGACCGAAAACATAATTGTGGGAATTGTAAGGTTTGTTGAACATAATAATATATATATATATACATACGTCTGCGCAATCACAGTACACACATAATCGATTTACCTAGAACCCAACAGGCCCCTGTTTTGATAGAAAAAACATATTTTGGGTGGTTGGCGGTCAAAACAAAAGGCCACCCAGGTTCTAGGTAGATACAGATATAGACAGCACAAACAGTTTGAAAGGGCACCCCAAATAATTTTGATTGATGGGTATTATAGACACAGGATGACATGTTCTATAGACACAGGATGACATGTTCAGGGTTACATCAAACCTTTTCTATAAAGTGTGTTTGATACAGAAACTCAAGAACAAGAACAAGGCCAAGTGGGTTAGAGGCAGTTGTACGTACAGATGAGCTCAACCCGGCAGTGGCGGAGTCAATGGCGTTCAACAAGAAAATGCCTCCGGCCGTTCTGAACTCCTCCACTTGTCCAGAGGCTTGGTCTTTCCTCTATCGGCTGTGCCGAGATGGAGAGAAGAAGGGTGTGCCGGAGGACATCCTGCAAGCCTGGAGGTCGCCAGGCCCGGCTCGCAACAAGTTGTTGCACGACTTTGTGCAGAAGTGCTTCAACAAGGAGGTGGACGCTTCGACGAACCGAGCCCGGCTTGAGGCCTTTGTGAAGATCCGCCAGGCGTCGAAGGACTGGAAACGGGACTTGAAAGGCTATGAATGGCTAACGGAAGAAGAGATGAAAGAGAAAGGTTGGAGCGAGCCACTAGAAATAAGCACAGCAATCTTTTAGAGCAAGAGAAACAGCAAAGCTTTTTGGTTTATCTTCAAACAGATCATCTTAAGACCCCCCAAATCCCAATGTTAAGTCTTGCTGAACTTGGCTCATGTATGTCCCAGCCCCTCTAACAATGGAGTGTCCCTTCGCTAAGAAGTCTTGTTTACGAATTGTTACTGGAGCTGGGACATACCAAAGGCAAGTTCGCAAGCAATATATTTTGGGAATTTGACTTGAAAGCTTCGCAAACCATCACAGCAATCTTGGGCCAAGGACAAAGATCAAAGGCGCTATCGAGTACTGCAAAGCCAAGAGGTTGACCAAAGACTGCCTGTACGAAAAAGTGAAGAAGTACCTGGTCTTGGTGAGCGACAAAGTCGAGTATCGTGGCTGAATCACGCAAACAAATCAAAAGCCGCGCAAAGCTAAAGTGTAATGTTTCATCTGGGAAATGCGATTCTAAGGCAAGGCTCGGAGAAGCTTCGTGAGTTGGAAGAACTTATGGCCGGCACTGGGCTTTTCACAGAGAACATGTCGCTTGGATTGGGAGATGTCCTGGACGTCTCCGATAACGAAGAGACAGAGGTTCCTGAGAGTGGGCCTTTCCGAGCTTGGAAGCGAAAGAGACAACCCAGGAATTTGTCACGAAGTACAAGCGTGCACTTCTCAACCGGAGGCAGGTCTTTCGCGATAACAAAGAGAAGTGGAACGAAGAAAAGCCTCCAACCGGAAAGATTCTTGCTCAGAGGTTGTATTTTTCCAACTTGTGTTGTATTTGTTGTAGGGCTTTATTTTCTGGTCAGGCAAACCTTACAGTCTCAACTTTGTCGCCTGCGCGCGTTGACACTGAGGGACGATTTCACCGTGCTGGAGCAAACTTCGAGACGCTCACAAGAATTGAGTTTTCCAACGCGAAGATGACTAGTAATTTGTTTCTGGATATCTCTTCATCTTATATATATATATATATTAGTTTCTTTCAAGCATGCATGTGCCAAGACTGTAGTCTTGCGCGCGCAAGCAAGCAAGGCGAGATCACGCAGATGGAAGTGCAGCAAAACAAAGTCAACGCGAATGACAAGTCCGCCTACAAGGATCTGACTGAGAAAGTGAAAGAACTGTGCACGAGGTTTGGAAATGAACTGTCCGCTGTAAAGACTCATTTTAAAGGCAAAGCCAAAAGCCACACCTGCAGAGCCTGTCAAGCCTGAACTGGAGTAGAGAGACCCCAGGGAGCAGTGAGATGTAGAAAGCTTTATGCCTTCAGTCAGAAAGCTTTATGTCTTTCAGTCATGGCTGCACGGAAAATGTTCTTGAGAGTTTGCTGGGGTCCCGGAATCTTGGGGTCGTTTTGGCCTATTCCTCCGCCGAAGTGCATGGAATGGCCATGGGCTTTTGCCACTCTCAGTTCAAGCTGTGAGTGAACATCAGTTTGAAAGAGAGCCGCTGAGATCAGCGCTGGTGGAAAAAAGGCAAACTTTCTATTTTGCTCCCCCTGCAAGTTGACACTAACACGTTTCAAAAGAATATCAAAAGCAATAGTGGTTTCCAACCAGGGATTGAAACTTGTAGGCGTCAAACTTCGGGGGAGCAAACAAAGGGCAAATGAGCAAGGGATTTGCATGTTGCTCCCCTGCAAGTTGACACTAACAAGTTTCAATCAAATTTCTATAACAGGATTGAAACTTGCAGGTGTCAAACTTGGGGGGGAGCAAAAAAGGGCAAATGAGCAAAGGATGGGAAGCGCTGTGGCAGCTGTTTAACCAGAAGTTCTTCAAGAGAGTGTTTTGGACGTGTTTCTGCTGTGGAGGCGCTGCATCAATTGGACACGTCTTGGACGAGTATGTTGCAACTTGGCAAGTTATTATATCAAGATACATAAAATTTACCTCCTCGGTCTGGAATACACAGCTAACGGTTTCACTTTGACGACTTTAACTCTGTATGGTTCCTGTGAAACCACTGGCTGTGTATTCGATTCCAACGTTGCGCTCATGCTTCCAATTAATGGTATGTATGTCCAACTGCATGTTGATTGCTTCTATCAGGGTATCCGCTATGGACAGGCACAATCAGCCCGGTTGGAATTGTCCCCGCATTGGTTATGCACAATGAAACGGTCCCCCCAAAACATTCAACCAGGCATTGATTGTTCCTGTGGACTACCATCATTGACAAGCAATCAAAGCAGTTGGATTCCAATTTCGCGTTGATCAATCGTTTGATTCTTGGACGCTGGTTTGGGCAATTTGTTCGTCAAGATTTATCTATGGACGTGGGCCGCGCTGCCAAGAACACAGTTTGAAACACAATGTGTGTATCTGAGGCTCACTCAGCCGCGAAAGCAGCAGAGACTGCACTCTTGCAGGCGCAAACAATTATTCCAGGGATTCAAGGACAAGTTGAGCTGATGCAACTGGGGTATGCGCATCAAGCAAAAGCAGACAAGGAAAGTATGTTTTCGCAACAAGTGATCAACATTGGTGTCTGCTTACAGGTAACTCCAAGTGTGATAGATCTCCCTTCACTGGGCTATAAGCGCTTGGACATCAGAACGGTTGCGGAATATTTATTGCAACACTGGCCTGGGAAACTCCTAGCTGGGCAAGAGGTGACAAAGTTTCAGGATCAGTTGCGTTGCTTTTGGTCTGCGATTGAAAACCTGTATCCATCCCACGATGTGTTTAGCAGCCACAGCAGGCACTTGCACCAATGCATTCCTGCGAAGATTCACAGCGACGAGGGTACAGGTTTGAGGAAGAGTCCTGTCTATCAATTCTCCTGGGGTCCAATTTTGGCATCCAGCGGGGCTAGTTGGGACCGGTACTTTTTCTGGAGCTGCATCACGCACGAAGCCTACAAAGAATGTCATGGCGGTTTGAAAAAGGGAACAAAGTACTCGATGAGTTGGCACAGCATTTTGCAAATCAAGCAAGGTCTGTGTTTGACCATCCAGTTGCGTGTGAGAGTTCTGGCCAGGAATTCTATATTGTGTTTGTCGGATACGAGGGCGATTTGCCGGCGCAGGCCCGCACATACCATCTTAAGCGCAACTTTGGGTGCTCCCAAACCCAATGTGCCCACCTAGGTATATCAGACCGCAGAAAGACAAGGCTCAACTCTCACAGCATAGGACTAAGGTGTTCTGTTGAAGGTGTTTCTGTTGAAGGTGTTTCAAACAACGTATTTTTTTAAAGAGGTCTGACATCAAGTTCCTGCAGCTCTATTGTTCAAATACAGTACAATGAGGTCGGTCCACCGATATCCGTGTTGAGGGTCTAACATACTCAAGCTTGAGGGTCTACAATGATCATGAAACCATCTTAGACCTTTCAGTCCCAGCACCTAGGGGTGCACCGATTCCAGACCCTAAGTAGTTGAGGGTATCATATCTGCACTCTGCACATCTACATCTCCCTCATCTTCACATCCTCACATCTACATCTCACATCTTCACCTCTCGCTCTTCTTAACTTTCTCTCTTAAGGCCGGGGGCAATGCCGCCAGAGCGCCACGAAACGCAACCCTCTGCGCAGATCGTGCGTGTCGAGGGAGCGAAATGCAGGCGAGAGTGCGATTTGACCCGGTCCGGTGCAACCCTCTGCCCAGATCGTGCGTGTCGAGGGCGCGAAATGCAGGCGAGAGTGCGATTTGACCCGGTCCGGCGCAACCCTCTGCGGAGATCGTGCGTGTCGAGGGCGCGAAACGCAGGCGAGAGTGCATTTTGACCCAGTCGCGGGCAACCCTCTGCGGAGATCGTGCGCGTCGCGGGCGCGAAATGCAGGCGAGAGCGCGATTTGGTTTTGTCCGGCGCAACCCTCTGCGGAGATCGTGCGTGTCGAGTGCGCGAAATGCAGGCGAGAGTGCGTTTTGACCCGGTCCGGCGCAACCCTCTGCGGAGATCGTGCGTGTCAAGTGCGCGAAATGCAGGCGAGAGCGCGATTTGTCCTGCTCGCGGGCAACCCTCTGCGAAGATCGTGCGTGTCGCGCGCGCGAAACGCAGACGACAGGCGATGAGTCCCATGCGCGCGCGTATCTGGGGAGCTGGAAGATGAGAACTGGCGACTTGCTAGTACAACTGTAGTACGCGGACTGGCTGGGGAGCTGGAAGCTGAGAACTGGCGACTTTGTAGTAAAACTTTAGTGCGCGGAGTATCTGGGGAGCTGGAAGATGAGAACTGGTGAGCTGCTAGTACAACTGTAGTACGCGGAGTAGCTGGGGAGCTGGAAGATGAGAACTGGCGACTCTGTAGTAAAACTTTAGCGCGAGGAGTATCTGGGGAGCTGGAAGATGAGAACCGTAGTAAAACTTTAGTACGAGGAGTATCTGGGGAGCTGGAAGATGAGAACTGGCGACTTTGTAGTACAACTTTAGTACGCGGAGTATCTGGGGAGCTGGAAGATGAGAACTGGCGACTTTGTAGTACAACTGTAGTATGCGGAGTATCTGGGGAGCTGGAAGATGAGAACTGGCGACTTTGTAGTACAACTGTAGTACGCGGAGTAGCTGGGGAGCTGGAAGATGAGAACTGGCGACTTTGTAGTAAAACTTTAGTACGCGGAGTGTCTGGGGACCTGGAAGATGAGAACTGGGGACTTGGTAGTACAACTTTAGTACGAACCTACGACACCATCGCTCAAACGACGCATAATCCGCGGCTGCCACAAAAAGAGCCATCGTGACGTTAGTATGTGTGTACTTCACCTTCATGACAAACGATGTTCGCTTGGAACACACGAGTCGCTTGTCATGATCGTGAAGTCGTTTACTCTCAGATCGCCATGTTCGTGGCAACTTCAGTGTGAAATGTACGTTCTTCAGTTCTATTTGAACCTCTTGACGTTGCGCTGCCGTTGCATCGACGCATCTACGTCTACACCCCCTCACCTCTCTACATTTACATCTTGACACGCTCACATCCGCAGATCTACCTCTCCACCTCACCACACCCACACATCTGCACATCTATATCACATCTGTACATCCACACTGTCGCTCCTTGACATCTGTCCTGTCTTTCTTTCTTTCTTTCTTTCTTTCTACATATCTTTTCTCTCGCCTTTGTGCATTTACATCTTCGCGCGCTCACATCCACAAATCTACCTCTCCACCTCCATACATCTACAGATCTATATCGCACCTGCGCATCCACATTGTCACTCCTTCACATCCACTCTCTCTTTCTCTCTTTCTATATATCTTTTCGACAGTGCTGGACAATCACATGTCTCGCTCTCGGGCCAACCGTCGTCTAGTTTGGTTTGGCCTCCCAGGCAAAGCACCTATCAAGAAACACATCCGAACACTGACATGAAAAGAAAAGATCGATTCGCCGTACAATCCCACATGAACCCCGATGAACCCACAGTCAGTTGTCGGACTGTCGGACGCAGCCATCCATCAAACTCCAACCACGCCTCCTCTTTCTGGGGCTCCTCTTCCTTTTCCTGCAAATACGGCTAGGTGAAACAACAACACATTTGGTCAATTATGCTCGATGTCTAAGCCCGAGGCTGTGGCACACGGATGGGGACGAACAACTATCTGGACCGTCGAGAATCAGCTCAAAGCACTGCTCATGGATTAAATGCAGTGGCTTAGAAACCTTATACGCAAGCCACTCGAGCTGTTTGTTGTGTGAGGGGGCGACATGGTGGCGTTTGGTAGCTGTGCTCGACCAAAACTTTAGGCAGGTTGCGCCACAGAGACATGACAAAAAGTGAGAAAGACGCTTGCGGTGAACACTTCTGGGCAAGACATGTCTAACTTAATCGCACTTATAGCCATAATCTATAGCATATAAACTAAAATCAATTATAATCACTTTTCACTTTTCTTCGAGAATTATTGCGCAGCTTGAGGTCCTGAGAGTGCACATGTTCCTCTTCCTCTTCGGCTTCCAGCTCCATTAGATGTGCCGTCTCGTTAAATTCGTGGAGCTCTCCATCTTCGTGTTCCAAATGATGTTCGTGTTCCTTCTTTGGCTCCGCAGTCGTCTCCTGCACGACTCTGACTAAGAAGTGAAGGAGACAGTGGTGTTGAAGCTTCGAACACCTAGGGTATCCTAGGGTACTTCCTTGACTCAAATGAACTATCCAGCTCTGTGCGGTTGTGGCTTGCAGCAAGGACAGCACACTTAGAGTGATGGTGGGACGAATTCATGCAAAGTCAACGGACAATTGTTTAACTTGAAGCAACATGACAGGAACCGGTTGCAAATGATTGGCAGCATTAAATATACTTGCTCAAGATTTGACCAAACTGTGTCTACTTGAGCAGTACCCTCAAGCGTGACCTGCAGTGATCCTTATACCACAAAGTTGAGTGAGTTCACACTCAATAAGTTGTTCCAACTTCCCTTTGTGGCTTCAAATCAATCCGTTGAGTTCGCACGCCAGGCGTTCTGCCTTGTCCGTTTCGCTCACAGTTGTGGCCTGAGCCCGGAGAGCACACGGTGTCGACCCGCTGAAAGAACATGTAAACCGTGTAAACCTATTTACATCATGTTTACATGTAGTTTTGGAGGTGAGTGGCCAAAGTTGTTCAATAATGCGAAGATGAATTCTTTATGATCTGGGAAACACATGTTTGGGTAAACTGACACACAAACAGCCCACATCCAATCCTTTGGACTGTGGCAAAGAGTTGGGTAGGGAGAGAAACTGGCAACAAACAACTCAAATCCTTTTGGTTATATATATATATGGCCTGTGTAGAACAAGGAGACTTGACTTCATTTGCGTGCCCCCTTCCTGCAGACCGTGCCAAATGTAGCAACCAAAGTGCTGTTCCTCAACCATCTCTGGATTGTCGAAAAGTACTTAAAACATCAAGAACCACATCAAAACACATCAAACATCCGTGGGTTGCTGTGGTTGTTTAGACCTCTTCCGATCTTTGCCTCTGAAAAGGAAGAAATCGAACGATTCCCTGCGCCAAGTATCGGTGGGAGATGGGGCCACGTCTGACTTCTCAACTTCCTTGGCGGAAGAGTTGGCATGCCCTTACCCCCAAAAAGGCGGGCTGCTGTGCCTAGACCCCTTCACTCCCTGGTTTCCAGTCATTGAACCCGTCCAAAGAGTTTCACTGTGCAAAAACGCCGTCCTGGCTGCTCCGGTGTGACCAAAGAGGCTTCCTATCGGTACCATCTCTGCCAGTCTCTGAGAGAAGACTATACGAAGCAACGCTGCCGATGTTTGATCTTATGAGAGCCCGCTGCAGCAAATGCTGATCTGAAACAGACTACGACTACGACTAAGAGTTAGAAAGATATAGGAAAATTACAAAAAGTCTATCGGCGAGTTGTTCAAAACAGGGAAATCATGGGAGCGTTGGAACATGTAGAACTTTCTGCTTAAGCTTTGATGAAGGTGTTCCAAAACAAGTCTTCAACATTCCGTGATATTGACTCATTGACTTTACAGACCTCTCCATGTTGATGAGATATAAACAATCTGGGAAATGTCAAGATGAAACAACAGTTCGAACCCATCAGTTGCCCTGCTCAACCCGGAAAATAGAATCCACTCTAAGACATGCAAGCTTCCTTCTCTTGCGGTTTGCTTGCGATTGGTGATTCGGACCCTTCGCCGTTCTCTTCCGTCTTTTCCTGGAGATCAAAATGCGACAGCTCACAAACAAACTCACGGCACAAGTAAACTGTTCATTCCACGAGCAAACTATGATTAGTACGATACATGTGCTTCACCCTTGATACGTTGCCATCTTGCCACAAGTGCCGGGATCTGGTATCAAGACGCATCAAAATAGCATGTAGCACACTTAGGCGTGCAAGTGTCTTCCTCTTGTGGCTTGCTTGGGTTTGGCGATTCGGCCCCTTTGTCTTCAGTCTTTCCCTGACTGCTAAGATTGGGACATGAATGCCAAGGAACACTCACAAGCAAACACACACAGCCGGCCACAAGCTACACCTGTCATTGAAGGCTATTGAAGGGTCAGTATTGGACGGACAATAGTTGTAATACGTTATATATACTGTTATATATGTATAATTGTCAGTCCCTTTATATAAGATTCTGCTTGCACTATCTCTGCTCTACTGAGAAAGTAGGAAAGTAGAGTCTAGTAACTCTAGTACAGTCAATCGTGCAAGGTCTTTCTCCTCTGACTTGCTTGGGCTTGGTGATTCTGGCCCTTCAACTCCGTCTTGGGTCTTCTCCGATAGCGGGGACAAATCCGTAAATGGTGTGAGTAAAACACAAAGAAGCAACAGAAGCAAACACCTCACAAGAAAAAAACACACCCTTTTTGGCCAGGATCAATCCGAGCTGTCAGCTTATGCACATTCATTCTCAAAACTGGTTCTGTTGCAACCGTTTGCAGTTCCAAGTTACCTCGTTACGTCCAGTCACCACGAATCACCACTAAGATGAAAGTCTCCTACGGTCAGGCAACCCAGTCAAAAAACAAGATGGAGCCCACGAACCCGAATGCAAGCACGATCGAAAAGCTGCATATGTCCAAATGACACTCTTGTAGGACACTCTTGTGGGACACTCTTGTGGGTCACTCTTGTAGGAAACTCTTGTGGGTCACTCTTGTGGGACACTCTCACGCAACAATCTTGTGGGACACTCTTCTAGGGCACTCTTCTGGGACACTCTTCAGGGACACTCTTGTAGGACACTCTTATGGGTCACTCTTGTGGGACACTCTTGTGGGACACTCTTGTCGGACACTCTTCTGGGACGCTCATGTGGGACACTCTTGCGAGACACTCTTGTAGGACACTCTTGTGGGTCACTCTTACAGGACACTGTTCTGGGTCACTCTTACGGGACACTCTTGTAAGTAGGACACTCTTGTAGGACACTCTTGTGGGACACTCTGGTGGGACACTCTTGGCGCTCACACGTGGCGCGTCGTTTAACCCGGCTGCACCTTCGCCTTTTCCAGCATTTGGATGGCCTGGTCGCGGAGAGAGAAAGGTGGCGGAGACAGTTCTAGACTTCTCAGACAGCCTATGACCGAGCCTCTTTGAGACGGTTCAGCCTTCTGTGGTTTCTTGCTGCCTCCTGAGACTGAGATCTGGGACATCAACTGAACTATAGACATTGGCGCTTTGTATGCAGAAATTTATCTGCTAAGGGCAACGCCTACCCCCCCATTTCTGGGCATTTAAGGGTATGTTTGAGGAGAGTGTGAAGAAAAGGTAGCGCAATAAGCAGCTGCACAGAAGGTTGTGCTGTGCATGTTTAAATATGTCGTTTCTCCAAAACACACATATATATAATTCCCAGCTACTAAATATGACTGATCCAAAACGAGTGCCCTCCATGATTGCATGGGAGAGATAGAATTTGCGGCGCAGTACAGAGCCTGGATGGAAACAGCGCCGAACAGAGATGGACACGGCAATGGGGAAAAAAGCTTCGCAGTTCCTGCGCTCTAATTTTGTGGGATACTTGCACTTGCACCAAACAGATGCTCAATCTGCTTACCAGGGCTCCCACATCATCGTATTTTACCCCTTCCCCTCCCTTCATCGTGTGGCTTTAGCAACTCTCAACCTATCCTTCTGCTTCCGGAAGAATTTGAAGCCCCTGCCCTTTGAAACGGCCCTTTCTTTTCCCTTCACCTTCTTGGTTCACACTTCCAGTGTCCATTCCTTGCCATTTCATGCACCTTCCTTCACTTTTCTAATTGTTCTTTGCTTTCTACAACACCACCTATCTATCTCCATCTATCTCCGGAACTATCTCTCCTTCAGCATGTTCACACTTGAGATATCAGCGCGCTTAGCAGACTTTATATGTTGGCAATCAATGGGAAAAAAAGGCAGTGGTAAGCAGACCGTGATTGAAAAATGTACCCCCTAAAAATGATCTGCTTGATTTCTACTGTGGGACCATTTCTTCTTACTGCCTAACAGCCACGGCCGCCGCCTCTGCTCGCAGAGCCTTATACTCACACCAGGTCATCTGCACACCTTGGACCAAACGCTCAGGGCCTTCTCCGCAGCAGCGGGACCCGAGGTCCCCACCTCGCACTTCCACCAGCCAGTTTAACGCCATGGCCCTTCGGAGTGATGGAGTCTGTTCGCGGTTTGTTGTGATCTCGGTGAGGTGATGGAGTTTGCAGTTCACGTGATGTTTCGGCTTGCGACGCGTATACACTTTCATTCTCACCTTCCTTCAGCCTGCTTGCTACATTTCATTCACAAAACAACAAAACAACAAAACGATGAGCACTCAATGAAGGAGCAAACAGGCCATACGCAACTTTTTGCTGCGACGCATCATAAAGAAAAGTTTGAGCCAAGCTTGTCAATCAAGGCCTTGGTGTATTCTGCCAAATCTGGATTATTGCTATCCCGGAAATCTCTGAGCTTTGCCTTGGCTTCTGGTCCAAGGGCTTTAGCCACACTTGCTGCTTGTGTGTCAGCGAGCGATGCCAAAGCCAGAACCACGAGACTCATGCCGTTTGCAGTGACCTTTGGCAGCAAAGCTGCAATGGACGTGGCAGCACCATGCTCAATGGCGGTTTTCTGCGTGGCCTCAGCCGATCTTGTGATGTTGGCTAAAGCACCAGCTGCCCATTCGGCGGCCTGCACGGCTTTTGATTTCAACAACTCCGTCAAGTCCTTCACCGCTGGTGCAGCTTTCTCAGCATTGTCCGGAGATCCAGCCGTCAGGTTCATCAAAGCACCTGCTGCATATTCTTTCGCTGAATCATCACCAAGCCGCAGCATGTCCATCAAGTACTCCAGAGTGCCACACTTGACGAGCTCTGCTTTCACTTCTGTCCACCTCCAAGAGAGATTCATGATGCCAAGTGCTGCCTCACCAACCATATCCTTCAGCAGAGCCAGAAGGGGCTGACCTGCACCAGCTTGCCAAACTGCATCACAAGGGCCGTCTTCTGCGGCCAACATTGCTAAAGCATGAGCACCCTGACGCTTTGCATCTTCAGACAGCCCAGTTTCTTGAATCAAAGCTACCAAAGATCCAATCATCTCAGGAGCCTGCTGATATCCTGCGTGAACATTGCTGGCATGGTCATTGAAAAGGTTTGCCAACGCACCTGCTGCGCGCTCCTTCAGGATTTCATCACTATCTTTCAATGCTTTAGCCAAGGGTTTGAGAGCACCTGCTTCGACAATTCTTTCTTTGATTTTTGGATGTGGACCCAGGTTCATCAACAAAGCCGCTGCAGACCTTCTCACATCAATGTCTTGATCACTGAGTAGTGACACGGTCTTCCGTGTGACTTGTGCCTTGTAGATTTGAATCTGCCGTTCTGAGCTACCGCTTGCCAAGTTCGCCAAGGCTCCAAGAGACTCCGAGTGTCCCGAAGGCTTGGAAAGTAGTGCAGCCAAAGCAGGAATAGCTCCAAGCTTTGAGGCTGCGGTGGCCACCTCCATGTCGCCTCGTGTCAAATTCATCAGTGCTCCAGCAGAATATTCTCGAGCCAAATCAGGGCCTTCCTTTACCAAGTTCACCAAGTGAGTCACTGCTCCATTGGCTACAATCATCTTGGCATATTCGGACGAATCACTGGCCAAGTTAAGCAAAGCACCAGCCGCTTGGGTGCTTACTTCAGGCTCATAGCTTGCTTGTAGAAGGTCACAGAGCTTTGGGATGGCACTGCCGATCGCAGAACGTGCCACTGGGGAGATGGTGATGTGCATGAGGGCTCCAGCGGCATTTTCTTGGGCAATGTCGGATGTGCATTTCAGAAGCTCGGCCAACTTTGGAACTGCTCCCAGGCGAGCGATGGCATCACTGTTCTCTTCATGACCCACGGTCAAATTCCATATTGCATATGCTGCCTCTTGAGCAGGTCCTCCTGCTGTGGATAGCAAATCCACAAGCTTTTGAAACATGCCAGCATCTGCTAACTTGTCTTGATTTGGAGGGCTCTCGTGGCAAAGGTTGCCCAGGACAGCTGCGGCCATTTCTTGCGTGAAGGAGTCTGTTGCACTAAGGAGCTGGGTCAGTTTCGGCACAGCGCCACCTGCAATCATCTCGGTCCCAATGTCCGCATTCTGTGAGACACCAGCATCCGTCAGAAGAAGCATCAACTTCAAAGCGGACTCCTGGCAGAGCAAAGCAGTGTGACAATGCTCAAGTGGCTGCGGGTCAAAACCTCGGCACAACTCATTTGATTTTGCCCAAATCATAGACTGGAGTGTTCACTTACTCAGGAGTGTTCACCTTTCATATCATGTAGCTACTCCTAGAGTGGGTGCGCCCTACCCAACTCTTTCTTGTAAATAAACACGAAAACTAAAGCCAGTTAGTGAAACAAATTGTTGAGGTCTGTTTGTCATAAAATGCTTTAAGGTAAAGTCTTCGCGACTGTTTTTGATGTTTTGCGTCCTGATGTTTGGATTCCCCAAGCATTTTGGAAAGCGGTGTAGCCAAGCCTTCACTGGCAATTTGCACACAAAGTTCATCGTCTCCACGTACCTTTTCATCCAGCTGCCTCACGGCATCCAATTCACCAGCCTGTACACGACGACAGAGTTCCTGCAACGACTTCGGCGCAAGGTGCGACGATGGGATTGGCGTCTTCGTCTTGGAAGGCACTTTCGAGGTGACCTTCGCTGTCACAGCTGCTGAGGCAGGAGAGGTCACCTTCGGTGGGGGAGGACTGGATGCATTGGAGTCATTTGAGCTTGGAAATCGCTGTGAAAGCAAACGCTGCATGAGAGTTTGCTGGCGGCTTGTCAAAGGTTCCTTGCTCTTTGGAGCGCCATCAACAGCCTCTGCTAAGAGCATCTCCTGGAACCTTGCCGGCCTTGGTGTAAAATCCACCCATGTCCCATCAGACAGGGCATTCCACCAAAAGCGTTCTGCTAGAAATGCTTCACTGGTACCTTTGTCAAGGTGCTCGTAAACTGCCCATCCACGAACCACTTCAATTCCAGCAACTTTGGCAGCTTTTTCAGCATTTGAGAAGCTCTGAAGGGGATAAAACTGCAGACCATTCACCAATGATAGCTGCGATGCTTCCGGTAGAGGCACAACACCCACTTTCTTTCCAGCGCACTTTCCTCTCTTCCCGACCAACTGTTTCAAAGATTTGCTAGTTCCGTAAACATTTGGCCAATCTCTGGGGAAACCGATTTCTCCAATGTGTTCTGCATCAAGGTCTGCGGTTGAAACAAAATCGCCGAAGTCAAGCCAATAGCCCTGGCTGCCAACAACCGCTTCTTCACCTTGATCGTCCATCAACTTCACCATGGGGCAAAAACCTTGACGCTGCCTTGATTGTTTTGTTTGAGTGTTCCCGAAAATCTTGCATAATTACTCGGCTGCTAGCCATAGTATCATTGGGCAATGTCATGCCTGGGTGTTCCATGCCAAGTAGTCACAGGTCTCAATAGTTAGTTAGAACATGTTGCTTCAGTTTCTAGTGCAAAGGTCGGAGCCAAATTTCAGACAGGGTGAGGAAAGCGTCAGCTACCACTTCAAGGAACACTCGGTAGAAAATAGACCACGGGTGGCCCGAGAGCGAAGGGATTTTGATAGGCAGATGGCTTGAAAAGAAGGATGTGTGTGGAAAAAAAAATAGCTTTGGCCTCCACCCTACTGGCGATGGCCTCCACCCTAGTAGCGATGGCCTCCAATCGAATAGTGAGGAGAGCGGGCGATGGAATGAAGGCGGTAAAGTGCAGGTGAAAGTGAGAGATAAAGAAACAAATGAAAAGTGAGAGAAAAAAACAAACAAACAACTTTTGCAGGAAACTCATAACCTCCCCAATGGGTGCGAATGCCACATCATCGATGTCTTCATCCACACTAGCAATCAACTCATCACTATTATTATTGTCTATTAGTACCTGTTATAGGAAAAATACCTCGATAGATCTTTGTAACAGTCACAAGAAACTCAAAATACAGCAGTATTGAAATGTGAGCAGCTCATTCTCAAAGTGCCCCTTCACAGTGCAACTCCGCTCTCAACCATACCTGCAGGAACATACACCTCACTATCACACGTCTATTGTCCACAGCCACCTATAGTTCACCTGTCATGTGCAAGTGCCTCACCCTGCAATAGTCACAAGACAGTCGAATTTACAATGTAAACGCCTTCACGTTTCATGTCAGGGTGCCCCGCCCCGGAAGACCATTGCAACATCCATCAAACGCTTCAAGTGCCCTTTCACAGTGCCACCCTGCTTTCAACCAAAACTGGAGAAACGCGCGCCACAGCATCACACTCCAAGTGTGTACGGCCACCTGCAAATCACCTTTCTGCCCAAGTGCCACAGAACACCCTTGCAATGTATAGATACGTTGCAAGCTTCAATGAACATGAAACCAAGCCTTGTTAACGCCAGCGGCTATCCCGCTCACTTCAGCCTGACACCGCGTTTACACACACGCACGCACACATGCGTTTCCAGTTTCCCAACAGCACGGAGCCGCGCAAGAGCAGACTTTCCAGCCGCGACAAACCGCATGGCGCCAAAAAAAGGGCCATCACACAGGACATTTTACTACTAGTAGCTCCTGGCATTAGTACTAGCAGCAAGAAGCTACTAGCTAAGAGCCTTACTACTAGTAGCTTGTTACCACATGTTACTACTAGTAAGGCACCTTGCTACTACTAGCAGCTTCTTGCTGGTAACAAGGCCATCACACAATTCCGCATGCTGCCCACACGCGACTTCGGCCACAAAACCGGCTCAACTTTGCCTGCTCCACCCCTAGTAGCTTCTTGCTCCTAGTAGCGATGCCAGGAGCCCCTAGTAGCGATGGCTACTACCTTACCCAACCTACCAGCGATGGCCTCTGTCACCGCTTCGGACACTCCACACAGGCGATTCACTTTCGCGGCTCACCGGCCACACGAACGCCCAAAAGCAGATGTGAAGGCAATGCGAAGATGTGAAGAAGGTGTGAGATGTGAGAATCTGAGATGTTTAAGTTTCTCAGACGCTTTCTCTGAAGAACCCTTGGCCTCAGGCGCTCTCAGGACAACAAATCTCTAACCCTCTGCGATCTTTTGATCTCGTCCAAATCACTGAGCAACAATCAGCTCAGGATTCAAGTGAAACAAACTGTCCGCTCCGCACTAGCTCTTTTGGTTGGGACCATCAACAAAGCAACAACTTGAACCTCAAATCTGCTACAGGAGCACAGGCCTATCTATGTGGAGACAACTCGCGCTAATTGAGAGGCGTCTGTGACAAGCTAGCTTGGGGGACTGGGCGCAATAAGTAAAATCTTGGGAAAAAGTAAGTAGTAAGAAGAAGCTATTAGCTTATTGTTTCTAATAGCTTCTTGTTACTGGTAGTAAGGCACTTGTTACTAGAAGCGATGCACTTGTTCCTACTAGCTTCTTAAGTGTAAGAGTTTGATAACTCACACATGTTTGGCTTTATGTAAAGTTGCAAGCCTGTAAAATTGCAAGCCTCCCACTCCCACCACCAAGTCTTGTCTGTGATTGTTGCAATTGTGATTTTACAGGTACAGGTACACTCTTGACGTGGGATGCTTGCCGACCTTGCATTTCTGTATCGCATGAGTCCTCATATAGGACCCACTGCATGTAATTTGCAAGAAGCTTGTTGAAGGAACCAACACAATTGAATAGTTGGTTGGAGGCCTTCGTTCTTAGGTTGGATGCCATTACTACTAGTAACAAAGGGCATCACTACTAGGAGCAAGGACGCTACTAGGTTGGAAGCCATCATTCTGAGAAGCAAAGCTTCGAATTTCAAGCTTCCATCGTCGGCTTCTTGGCCCAGAGCCCGAGGTCGAAAATGGCTAGCGCTGTCTGTCAGCCTGTGTTGAGAGCATGAACACATGGTTCCAAATCCAAAAAGGCTGCACTAATACTTGGAAAGGCCAAAACACAAGGACTTTCTCTTCCATACTGTAAGATTGAATCTATATACAAGTTGGAGTGGGCCAGCCTCTTTGTATCTCCTCGAGTCGTCTCGTGGTCAGCTCAGTTTGCATCCTCCTGCGAGTAGGAGAATCACGAAAGGAAGAGACAGTAAACCAAAATAATGGTCTTTAAAAAAATAACAAGAAAAAGAAAAGGGAACCAAAGATAGACAGAGAAAAAGCTATTCAGAGTTGTTCGGGCGCGCTGTCAGGTGTTCGTGATGATCTCTTCATTGTTGGGTTTGTCTCTCATAATGCAACCTTTTTAGGGAGCAAATGAGTAGCGGTCACACTATTCATTTTGTTCCTAAACTTTGGGGGAAACTTAACTTAAGCAGAGGTGCCAGTCTTTGTGTGGCTTTTCTTGTGTTCGCTTTATGCCTTTGGACCCATAGAGCTTTCCTTTTGCTTCTTTCTTTGTTCACTTGACAAACATGGAAAGCATGTTCAAAGCCTTCAACTTTTTCCGCATCGCTTCCAACTCGTTGTCGATGTCGCTGGAAGCTCCGCTGGAACTGCCGCTGCCAGCACCTCCTGCAGGCAAAGCCTGACGACATGCGAACCATTATGCTTGGAATCCAGGAGCCTGTTCGACCATACGCGAAGGTTGATTGTGCCCGCTTGAACCCAAGCCCTTCCAAGATCTAAGTCTTGCCACTTAACATGTAAACTACTAGCTATACTACTAGCTATCTTGTCTTTACCGAATTAAGAACTCCTTTTGTGTATATCTGAGAGTCTGAGAGTTCTTACTTACTAAATTATTGTAACTACTACCTAAATATATAGCTTACTAAATATATGTTAAAACAGCAACAACACTACTCACTATCGTACTGCTATTTATTAGAGCTTGTTGCCAATATCTGAGCAGAGAGCGCCTCCTAGCGTCTAGCCGACCTATGGAACTACTTCTCGGGCTTACATGGCCCGGCCTGTTTTTATCTCAAAGGAACAAAGAACGAAAGAGAAAGGTCTTAAAAAAGAATAGTAACAATAAATAGAATAAACAAACATAAAAACAACAACCTACTACAGTCGCGCTAGTAGCTACCTCCTTACCCCCTTTTACTTTAGCATTTGTTTAAACTCACCTCCACTCGCGTGGTAGCTGTACATCACCAGGCCTTCTTGCCCTTCAGCTTGGCTAGTTCGTCGTCGACCGCGCTGCCGGCTTCCAACCTGAACAGCAAATGTTTGAAGACGTCCAGCTGTGCCAAACACAAAAAGGTGCTTTGGCGCAAGCTCAACAAGTGTTTGTTCTCTTTTTGCCTACCCGTTACAAACACCCTTACCTAATTAAGCAGGTGCCTAGTTAAGTAAGGGCAGTGGACACAAGAGAGCTCATGCTTCTTCAACTGAGGCTGGGAGGAGCTTCCTTGCGGAAGCGCTCGCACTACTCATTTGGTTCCACGGTGGTGCGCTCCCAGCTGAGACTGTTGCTGCTTGAAGCGGTCCTTCGAGATCCACAAATTCACCAGCTGATGCAGATCCAAACTGTGTGAAATCATCTACGCATCAAAACAAAGGATATTTAAGTAGCAGTGTGTTTTTTTCCGGGGGAACTAGGCCGCGAAGAGGGAGTAGTAAGAAAGTAAAGTAAGAAGATGCAAGACGCTAGTAGACAACATGTAAGCCAACGAAAGGACGCAGAAGGGCTCGGTTTTGGCTTACGCCTGAGGGGGGGAGAAGCGTCAAAGAAAGAACTCTTTAACGTTGTCGAAACAATTCTTATGTAGATGTTCTTAGATACAACAACCTGCTGTGCCATTGTGAAAACTCTACAACCCTTGACTGGTCCTCCAAGCTTCCTGATGACTGAGCTTCTGGAAGCAAACCCTGTGAGACCTGAGGTAGAAGTATCATCTGCTTCTACAGTCGAGCAGGGCTGATGTAGCTACACTAGCCAACTATTTATTGTGTCCCCTGATTCAATGGCGTTCATTCAAGCTCAGGTTGTACTTTGGCGCTTCCACCTTCAAGTTGATTTGCTCAACTAAGCCAACTAGGCTTATTGAGTTCAATAAATGACATCCTTGCAAAGAAACATCCCCATTACGCCTCCGCCCGCGTTTCCAGCATTTCTACCTGCGTGTGCAAGGCTGCAAGAAAGCCAGCACAGCTTCCCAAGATGACGCTTCATTCTTGGAGATTAACATCTCGTCAAGAACGTTTCTGCCAGTTCTTACATCTGGAATAGCCAGTTCCCTTGCAGTTTGGGAGAACAATCTCTTGACCTCTAAAACCTCAAAAAAAGAAACTGAGGTTCCATTCTCGGAGATGAGATGCCCGTCCAAAGAAACTGCTGAAGTCTAGCCTTCTCCTTCATGCGATCAAATGCCCCGCTGGCACCAGTGCTAGTCACATCGGACAACATCTCGTTGACCTCAAGGATACATTTTGGTCCAACCAAAAAGGCACGTGAATCACTTGTGTTGGATATTGATTGAGCTATAACGTGGAACACAGCGTTCCCAATAAGCTATGACTGAGGCGTATCCGAAAAGGTCTAACAAAGAAGATAAAAATAACAAAAAAACAAGTTAAAAGGAAGAAAGGTCTAAAGAAGGAACAAGTAAGAAAACAAGAGATCCTATAAGTGTCCTTTACTGATTCCTGCTGGCAGCAAGAGAACGCCGCCAAGAAGAACACAAATCCTGCCAATTTCCTGAGGCCAATGACTTGCGACGTGGTCTTTGCTGTTCTTGCCCGCGCAATCAGCTGCTCCTTCTCCTGCATCACTGCACAAGTGAGGCACTAATGCTATGCCTGAACTAGTTCTCCTAAGCACAATGATTGGACAAGGCACCTCCTTTGCTTGGGTGATCTTCTCCTTGCAGAAAAGGAAACTCATTGGTTGTATACTCTCTGTGATGCTCTTGGCGTGTTCTTGTGTTCGCCGGTGCACCTCCAATGCCTTCACTGACTCAAAGAGTTTTTCGACATTCCTTGGACCATTCCATGTTGCAAAGCCCGGCGCAAATGCCCTTCTTCACACCAAGCTCTCAGCCCTGTCATTGCATCAATCTGGTCCTGCAAGCCAGTCGCCTGCGGTCTTGCACACTGGTAGTGGAGTCGAACATCTCCATAGAATTAGAATTGAGTGTGACAATTCTTTCCATGTTGCTGCATCAGGAGAAGCAATGACACTCTTTCCTGCGTCCATTCAAACGGCGTGTTTCATCGGGCCTTTTGGACAGATGACTGCCGTCGTGACAATGCTTCTTTAGCAAGTTCATCGTCACCCTTCTCGACCTGGGAGTTTCTTAGCTTGCAAAACTCAGACTTTGGGATTGCTAGTAGGTTGGAGGCCATTGCTATGAAGGGGGACGCCATTGCTATTAGTAACTCAAGATTCGAAAGCGCAAGTAGCTGGGGCTGCACACAGCCATCTCGGCCCTACGATACCAATCTTCTGCCAACTTGTCTGATTGCTCCTTCAGAGGGATGGAAGATTCAGAACCTGTTCATTGACCAAGGTGTTCAATGAGTTAAGGTGATAATGCGGCTTTGCTCCTTCTGATTTACCAATCTCCTCTGCGTTGCAAGAACCTCAGCGATTGAGCGCAAAGCTGTGAAATCATGACTGCCACTCACATCTCTACCACAAAGCCTTACGTTTGAAATCAGGAAAAGGAAAGATAAGAGCCTCTTCAACAAGGCCCCTTTACAGGCACCCTTACCTTTGCTTGTGCATCTGTTTTTCTTTATTTCAGACCTGGAGTTTTGTAGTAGCAAGAAAGCGGATCGGCAATGCCCAGGTGTGACCGTGACCTCCAAGCGGCCTCTGCATAAGACTGCCTGACCTTGATGAGGTCGCCCTGACCCAGAATGAGCTGCGCAGAAACTTACATTGCAAGGACAACACTCGCAAAACAAAATTGTTCCGTAGCTCTTGTTCAAGATCATATGTGTACGATGTATATGTCTTGGCATGCTGTGACATACTAAATGATATGTTTCCACTGCGCAGGGTGTGTCAATTGAAAGTGTGTGTGTGTGTGTGTGTCCACA